AGTTTCCCTCCACTAATCAATGCACCACAGGAGGGTACTAATGCGTGGCTGCAATGTTAGCAGTGAGAACCATGATGATTATGCACTTAGTTTGCACAGTGTGCAATGTATTTTTTGAATTCAGTATCCAGAAACAATGTCTACTGGAGATAGAGCTAGGAAAAAATACATTATTCTGAGTTACAGATCAGAGGTAAAATTAAGAGGTAAAATTACATTAAATAAAGAAATTTAAAAATAAATTAAATTAAAAAATAAATTTAAAAAAAATTAAATTAAAAAGAGGTAAAATTACATTGATTTGGTGGGACCCGGGAAAAAACTCTGTTGTTCTATGATCTGTTAAAATGAGATTCTATATACAGTCAATTCCATTTAATTGGGCCACCGGTTAATCAGGCCAAATCTCAAAGAACAGAAACCAAACTAATAGATGATTTAAAAACTTAATTGGAACAACTTTTTGCTTAATTCGGACAGTAGAAGAAAAGGAATTTAACAATTTTTTATATATTTTAGGGATCTTCCAAAAATACTGTATATCAGAAGTACATACACTAATGTCATTTATGCCTAACGGTTAGCAGAGACAAAATGATTTTGTCTTTCACTCGAGCAATTCGGTTTTTCCAGAGGGGAGTTAGCATAGCGGGATGTATCTCACCACGATCTTGTCTGAGGCGGACCTGAATTCAAGCTACTGACCCTGCTTCGGATTGGATCATCGTTGGGTCAGACGATCCCTTTAAAAGTGAAGGGACGAGGACCCCAGACAATTTTTCGAGTGTTTCTCAACCAAGTTCGAAGAAAGCTAGAGTTCCCTTGGAAGGTCTTATTTTAATGTCCTTATCTAATGGCAAATAGAACCTTGATGTAAGTTACAATATCAACCAATACTTGTAATAATTTTAAGTTTTTTAAAAATTCTTTTAACATCTTAATGTTATGGCTTTTTTTTTATGCCTTTTTGTCTTTGTTTTGCACTTTCACACAGTCTTGATATTGGATACATGTTTACTGTAAGTTCTTAAAAATATATATACTTTATTGTCGAGAATTTATTTTATAATTAATATACAATATATCTTATTTTATTATTGTTTATAGTAATAATGTTGATGAGGAGTGTGTTAGCCTGAAACACATTTAAGTGTACAGAAAAAGTTACTACTACAGGTGATTTAATAAAGAAAATTTGTTTTTTCTGAACTAACTCTCATTATTGTGTCAATTTTTAAACACCAGTGTAAAGTCCTATTAATGAGTAATGTCCAAGTAGACAATTAAAAATAAATTAGAAACAAAGATTGTAAGGCAATTATAGGAAGGTGTTTTAGTGTCAATTTTATTTAAAATTCTTAAATCTTTGCCAAGATGTCAAGAAATGATTTTACACTTTCAAGTAAAATTGCACTACTGGATAAAATTAAAAGCCAGCCATTGAATACAAGCCATCATAGACTTGTTGATATAACTGGTGTACCTAAATCTACCATTGTGCATTTCCTACAAGAAAATCAACTGCATGAGGAGTGGGCATTACAAAAAGAATTCCAGGAACATCCAAAAGAAAGCATGATGGAAAGGATCCAGAAGTTGAAGAAGCATTAGATCGATGGTGTTCTATGGTTAGTGGACAAGGCATAAATATCAGCGGTCCAGTATTAAAGGCAATTTATCATGTTATGATGAAAATGAAAACTTTGAGGATGCAATTGTTGACATCATTAAATCCAAACATCAAAATCATTGTGGCTTAGATTTTTAGTTTTTAGGGTTTTAGTGATCTCCTCTGACCAAAGTCAGAGGAGATCACTAAAAACCATCAGAGAATGATTTTAAAGCAAACTGATGGTTGGCTGTCTCAATGGAAAATGAGACACAATATCAAATACAAAAAAGTATATGATGAAAAGGGCAGTGCAGATAACATAAGTGCTGAATAGTGGCAAAAAATTTAAATCCTTCTATTTTAGAAAATTTTTGTTCAGATGATATTTACAACACTGACAAAACTGGCCTCTATTATCATGCTACACCAGATGGCTCCCTGTGTTATAAGCACATTGCACTGTCAGGGTATAAGAGAGCAATAGATCGTATTACTGTGTTATTCTGTGCAAATATGACAGATACCGACAAATGAAAACTACCAATTGTAGGGAAAAGTGCTAAGCCTCGATGCTTTAAGGAGATAAGAATAGAGTGTTTACCAGTAGAGTACCATGCCAACGGTAATGCATGGATGACTTGTGAAATTTTTCGCAAGTGGCTTACAATGAAGTTACAATGTAAGCAAAGGAAAATTTTGCTGCTTCTTGATAATTGTGCTGCATATCCTCATTTAGATAATCTCAAAAATATATTGCTGGAATTTCTTCCTCCTAATATAACATCCTTAGTGCAACCAATGGACATTGAGGTAATAAAAAATTTAAAGACAATGTGTTGAGGAAAATTGGTAAATTACATACTGGAATCTATTGAAGAAAACCTAATTACAAGTTCATCAACAGCCAGAGAGATCAGTGCAAAAACATCCATTTTGTAAGCCATACAGTTTGTCTCTGATAGTTGACAAGCTATAAAAAGCAGCACAATACAAAACTGCTTTGCTGCTTGCAGTTTAAAACCTTTGGATGTTTCTGAAATTTTGAGCAGTGAGGAAAATGAAGGCATACTGCAAGTTCCTATCATCAATAATGAAGAATTTTCAACAATAGATGACAATTTATCCTGTTACGACAAAAATGAAAACTTTGAGGATGCAATTGTTAACATCATTAAATCTAAACATCAAAAATTTGACGAAGAAAGCGATGATAAGGATGATGACCCACCCGTGCTTGTGACAAATCATGAGGCAATTAAATTTATAGTCGAGTTACAGCATTATTTTATGCAAGAAGGTAATGAAGAAAGCCCCACATCTGCACTGAATATATGTGCTGATTTTGTAGAACTGTAAAATTTCAGAAGTAAAAAACAGACTACACTTGATGCATTTTTGCAAAATTAAAATGGTAAAATTTATCATGAAAAGTAAGTGTTATTTTTTCTGTACAATTTATAGTATGAATATTTTCTGTATTTTGCTTTAATAAAGGTAATTATCATTTTTTTTACTTATTTATTTATTTATTTACGTATTACATATTTTATTTTAGAAATTATTATTAGTTTGTTTAATTGAGGCAAAATAGATTAGTCCCAACATGTCGTAATTAAATGGAATCAACTGTATATATAATGTGTACACATATATACAATGAAAAAATATAGCTTTTTAAAAATTATTGAATTGTAGCTAGTATTGACCAACACCAAGTCCTGACAAACATATATTTGTATGCTTTTGAGATCCTTAACCCTTTGCCCTCGAAAGCACCGATTGGTCGGTACCCCCATTGTTAAGCAAAACTTCAAGGGTACCAATTTGTTGTTACCCTACTAAAAATCAATTTTTGCAAAATTTATTGACAATGGATGTCAGCACTTGACAGCAGCGTTTTGTCTATTGTCTGTTTCACATATTTTTGTCCAGGTGGTGTTTTGTTGGCTTAAAAAATTTTAATTAATGCTTTTTTTCTTAATTAATTTTTTTCTGATAATTTTTTATTTCATTTTTAGCATATTCATGCAATGATATCACTATAATAAGTTCATTTATGCTATAATAAGTCAACGTGTTATAAATATTCAAGTTGTGACTTTCAGTTCTGACATCTATATATATATATATAAAAATGGACATGTATGTCCCTATATTTCACTTTTTCGCCAAAACTACACATCGCACGTGAATGGTGTTTGTATGTGGTGGTAGCCCCAAGTCTCCATTCGTGCATAGGGGTGGTTGCGTCTCGATAGCTATAAGGGTGCGGGAGATATGAGGCTGAAAGTGGTTGAAAGTGGCTTTCTATTTCGAATGTTTTGTTCGAA